TAATCTTGTCTTATTTTTAGAAGGCCCTTCCTCCCTTCAACTTTGATTTTAAAATGACCAGTTAGGAAATAAGGTATTTCTTCCACCAGGGTTTGACACGGTCTACATGTCTCCGCAGGGGTTACATTGTTTGGTCTAATTCTCTAGAGATGTGGCCACTGGTGTTCCTCTAGGAGGAAGGTCAGACTGAGTGGACACTTTCCAGGAGTCCAGAAGAAGATAGTGGTGAGTCCCTGGAGACACAGCGTCTAGGCACACGTTGGGAGCGCCAGCTGCCCCAGCACCAGCCCTTCACAGACCCCTCAGGGGTAGAGTTTGCCTGAGGCTTCATTCCCTCTGGGAGTACAAGGACTCAGAAGGAAGGAACTAGAAGTTTGGGGATAAGGAAGAGCTGATGGTAAGAAAGGTAAAGGGGAGGGGAGGGACAGAAAAGGATGAGAGACGAAACCAGGATACGAGGTTGTTGGGGGAGTGAGCAGAGTGGTGCTCGGCCACAACTCTGGGTGTCCTCCCGAGGCGTCCTCTGAGAGCCCACACCTGTTCATACCTTGTTTCTCTGTCCTCACTCCCCCACCGTCCTCTCTGTACTTTATCTGAGTCAGAATTTGTGGAGAAACTTGATACGAGCCACCAACATCCCTAACTTCCTGGGGACATCTGAGCTCCAGTGGCACTGACGCGTCAGCATGATGGATGGAGGAACCACCAGCCCCTTGGTATCCCAGCAGTGGAGCCAGAACCACGGACAGCAACCCAAAGCCAGAACCATGGACAGCACAGCACAGCCGCCCCTCCGTGGGATCAGAACCACGGACAGCGCAGTGACCTCCTAGTGGGGCCATGGACAGTGCAGCACTCTCATGCCGGGAATGGGGTCAGGACCACAGATAGCGCAATCCTGCTGTTTTGTGGTCAGGACCACGAACAGTCCGGCTCCCCCTTGTCCTATCGGCTGCCCCATCCACCCCCCACTCATTCTATCAATTCTACCTCTTGGACCCACAAAATAGCAACGAGAGCCTATGGGGCAGACTATGCCAGCCAGGAACTCCTGGAGGGGCTTCCAAACATGACCCCTGCAAACTCAAGCTGGGACAGCCTTTTGGGAGGTGCTGAACCACATCCTAGACGGGGTGATGAACTCTGCAAACTCTGCTAGGGAAGGGCTGTGGGGAGCCAGAGAGGTGCGCTGAGTTTGCTGAATGCTAAGGGCAACTTCTGCCAGAAGAGGTGGCCACAGCAATCAAATGGGAGAAAGTGAAAAGAAAGGCTTTTTCTAACTTCCCTTTGGTCTCTATTAGAAAGTGATATTTATTGTATTTTGGACCAGTTAGACAGATCATTTTTATTAGAATGGCTTCTTAAAAAATGGGTATATAAGTTTTCCTAAATTAAAAATGTCTACTTTAAATTTCAAATGTCTTTTTAATTTTTTTTTTAAAACAAGATACTATAGACACATCTTGAAATTTATAATCTAAAAATAGGATTTCATCAAAATACTCTAACTATTCTATTCTGGGCATCAATATACTATGTAGTTACTGTTTATGGCTCTGCAGACGTGATAAACACTATACTGAAAAAAAGAAAAGCGTTTAACTTTATTAATAAGAACAGTTTCCTATGAAAAGAAAATTATGTGGGAAAGATATGAGCTATGCATTTGTTTGAAAAGTAACTCAGCTCGGCATTTCTGAGAAACAATAAGACACATCACAAAATGAGGAGTGGTGTGATAGATATATACAGATCTGAAGAGAATCACAGGGATAACAAGGAAACAGTCATTACAGACCTGCAAATCCTTTCCTCGGCAAAAGCCCCCCAACCCAAGATCTCCTGAATTCAGTATGCTGATGGTACACACTGCCGTGAGACCTTGTGCTGGAGAAGGACGGGCAGAGCTCCATAAATCTGCACACTGAGGTTTAGACCAAGAACCAGGCAGGAAACCTTAAATTGCATATCTCCCTGCTGGGAAAGCAATGTGTGATTTGGAGGCAAATAAAGATGATGCTGGTTCTATGTGGACTTTCAAAACAGGGCTAAATACTTATGGAAACAGAATATAGACAATTTGAGGACAGAGGACTCTGAGTCATGGGGCAGGATGAGCACAAGGAGACACAGGGATGGGGCTTCGAGGTGAGTTCAGATGACAGAAGGTGACTTGGGCTCCTGCATATCCACTGGCCTTGTTTTGTCTTCTGTTTTGCTCAGTCACGTTTTCCTCTGAATAACTAAAAGCTACACCGGATCTGTTTGTGCTTGCCCTCCACACAGGAACCTCGCTTAGTGAGGCATGTGTGGGCTGCTCTCAAGGCTCTGACCAGCCAAAGGTGCAGGGCTGAGCCTGGAAGCAGTGCTGGGAGGTTCTTCTGGACACAGACGTGAGAGTGAGATCCTTAAGCTTCACCACCAGCCCTTCCGTCTCAGGGCCGACACAGCCTGTTCCTCTGGGCTGCGTCAGGATCCCATGACCTGGCCACTTCCTGGCTTCTGCCAGGTGGGGGCCTGTGTGTGGCCGCAGGTGCCACGTGTGCAGTGCTAACTGGCCACTTGTGCACTCCACGTCGGGTCCTTCCAATCTCCTCCCATAAGTCCTGCTTCCCAGTTCCTTGGAGGCTTCTTCCGCCCACTGACTTCCCAGCGTGTGGTCTCCTGTGCCTCCACAGGCCTTCTTCTTCTGCCGCCCAGACCTGGGGCCTCTCCTTGCCCACTTCCCTCTCCACTCGACACTCCGACAGGTGTCTCCACGGAAAAGCTCTAGCATCTAGGACTCACTTCTTTCTGCATTAAAAACTCTCCTCTTGCTATAAACCTTCTTTGCAGAAGGTTTATAATCTCTCCTTCCAGGGAATCTCTTGCTGGCTTAATAAACTAATCCACATACTGAGGCTCACAGGTAAAGTGGAGTTAATTTCTGGCTTTCCCCAGAAGTAGATATTTTAATTTGAGTTGTTTCTGGAGAGTCAGTGCCTTCCTAACATGAATCATGACCATACAGCTGTGATCCAGGCATTGTGGCATTATCACAGTCAGGTAGCTGAGCACTTTCCAAGTGCGCTGAACCAGACCCTGCATCCCCAGACTGCAGCTGCTTGTGCTGGCCCTCTTGGCATGGAAACAGCATTGTTCAGAGCAGCGATGGGAAGCATACACACACTTCTCCAGCCAACATATCAGAGTGTCAGGGACTGAGGGCAGGTCACAGATTTCAGCTAGGAATCGATTGTATCTCCATTGCTTTCAGAGAAGTGCTTCCAGTAGTTAGGGTGTCTGGGTCACAAATCCACGCTCACCTCTCAAGTTCTCCAGGCTTCCTCCTAGTGGTGCCAGCTCCTCAGAAGTTAATATAAACAGGCTGTTTCGTCTTAGCCTTTGCAGTGAAGTAAGATTTCACTTTATTTCCTCATTCTTGAAAGATTAATGTGAGTTCTTTACTTACAAAAGCATTTTCATATCTTCTGAAACTTTATCTTGAAGAATTTTCCACCCCATTTCCTTTTCTAGAAAAATTCAGCTAAGAGACACAGTTGGCCTTGTATTAAATCACAAGGCAAGTCTCTATTTCCCTGCTAAGACCTCTGTTTCCTATGATCTTGTAACAAATAGCTAAAACGCAATTTGTTTCATTTTTGTGTTACTGTTAAGACATCTGTAATCTATAGCACTTGAGTGTGTGTACAATGATGTGACCCTTGCGTCTCTGGCGGGTGGCTGGCTGGAATTCTAAATGGAAGTCCATGGCCCATACGTGGCCACTGCTATGCTTTGCTCTTTAGCATAATGAATTTTGGATATGGATTTTTTTAATGGGAGAAATTAGAGACCTGTTAACGAGCACGATAAATGTTAGGAATGAGTTCTCGGTGGGGAAATTAAAGCAATTCAAGGAATGAGTGTTGAATAAAGGCAGGTGTGAAAAGGGCCTCCCTCCCCCTTGCAGGAGTCTGGCACCTCTGGTTCTGAGTGAGTCTGTGGCTGAGGCCCAGCTGTGCTACGTTCAGTGACACCTGCTCCAAAGGTAACAGAGTCCTGCCTCCTGCACTTTGGCAGCTGCTTCAAGCAATTTTTTCTTTTTTGGTATGCAAGATGGTGATTGGAAAACACAAAAGAATAGAGAGCTGGTATCACCTTAGGCCAAAGGGAAAGGTTTGTTTTGTTTGGTGCTTGCTTTCTAACAAAATTGTACTTGAACAGTCAGAATTTGGTCAAGGACTGTTAGGGTGATGGTAGCTTTGCAGCTAACCCTTACACAACTCAAACATCAATGCCTGTCGCTGAGACCGTGCCTGACTGAGCAGGCACCTGTCAGTTTACGACTCTCTAGGAGTAGGTCTGGAAGTGGCTTTCTCACATCACTAACCTTCGCCCATCCGTGTGTGGGACGGCTATTTCCATTCCTCTGGTTCTATTTAGGTGCTTTGAAACATCATGCACTGTAAATTCTTTGTAAAAGGAGGTGGAATAAGAACCTAAATGAACAATGACAATCACAGAGCATTGCTACTGGTCGCTCAGGGTGGGAGCCCATGGCTTTACTCTTCACTGTGGCTTTTCTTCAAGTGTCATGTAAACTTGTGCTAGTGAGACCCAAACGCATCGCCAGAGAGGCACGTGGCACGGGAGGGACACGGAAGGGACCATGCCTGAGGGCCGATTCCTAACTGGCAATGCTTCAGTGCCACTTCTCGTGGCAGCAGCTAACCCCCTACACCTGAACAGAGACTCTGACGCCACTAAGGAGACACAGAGCCAGCTCCGCGGCACCTGTACTGCTAGGCATGGTGGGCGGGATCTTGGGACTAGCAATCTGGGGAGAAGAAGCGTGTTCTGAGTTCAAGTCTTAGCCAAACACAGAACACGTGTGTGTTTCTGAAACACCAAAGGAAAGCAGATGCAGACAACCTCTGGACACACCACACTGCTCCACAGACCCGGCCTTGTCCTCTCCAGACACGTCACTCTGGTTGAAGAGCCAGGAGCCCGGTGGCTTAGAGAGTCAGTAGAAACTGCTCCTGCTCTGGCGGCTTCCTCACCCAGGTGCCCAGACCTGCTTTCTGAAAGGCCTTGAACAGCTGCTGTTTGACAGACTGGTAGGTGTGCGCCCCCAGCTTGGCCTCACAGTACATGGACGGTGTGTCTCCGTGGGTTGGTGTCCGCGTGCTCAGCTGTGGACAGGACGGAGAAAGAGAGAATCAGCCACCAGCAGAAATATGGGCCTCCACCCAGGGGTGCCCCCAGGGGATGTCGGCTCTGGGCCTTGCCCCTTTCCTTGTCTTTTTCTCCCCCTTTAAAACAAAATGGCAACATTATAAAGAGCATCCTGGCTGCAGTTACCGAGTTCTCTCAGGAAATGCAGGGGAAACCCAGTCGTCAGGAAGCTGCTTCACCAGACTGTGAACAGTGGTACAAGGTGAGCAGGTGACCCGCCTCCTGCTATGAGTGTGATGTCGAAGTGTGGGGGAGGAACCAGGCATGACTGGGGGTGCCAAGACTGCGTCAAGTCACGCAGGCAGGGCACAGGCAGGGGCCTCAGTTACATCATCAGTGGAGTTCCATGAAGCTCAGAGGCTTCCTCTGCCCAGTTCCTGAGTTACAGCAGGACAAGTTCTGCCACCAACAGAAGGTGGAGATCAAACCTGGGACAGGAGAGGGCAGGACCTGGGGCTCAGGAGGCCACTCCAGGGTTCTTCAGGGAGGCTGACCACATGCCAGCCCTGAGCATGTGCAAAAGAGGTCCCTTTTCTTAGCAAGTCGACACTGATGCTTCCCTGGCCTTCCAGTGTCTTCAGAAGAGGCGAGACCTGGGGTGCCTGAGAGCAGGCCAGAGGCTGAGGGTCACAGGGTGCGGGCCACAGACCTAGGTCCATGGCAGTGGCTTATGACAGGGGCTCACTGCCCAGCTCAGAGCAAATATGTGCCATTTCCGGGGTCCTCTAAGTTGGCAAAGTGCTCATTTCAAGCCCCCGTGTCTATCCTGTCTGTCTCCTTCTGGATAAATCAACCACAACACTGTTACTCCTATTTGTGGTGTAGAAAAATTAGTAGAGCATTTTTTGTTTGTTGTCATGTTTTTATTTTTTTGTTATAGCCTGCTATGCTTTAGCAACAAAGAAAAATATGTATTTCAATTTAAAACCTAGAAATGTAGTTATTACCCCTATTATGAGGGAGAAAGCAGTGATTGACATAGTGAAATATGTGTGCTTTGGGGCTGAAGAGGAATTCTAACCCTGAATTTGCCATCTGTATAATGTGGGAGAAATTACCTCACTTTCCTGACATGAGTTTCCCTAAATCTAAACTGGGAATAATACTGACTTAAAAAAACCCTGTTAGTTTTTCATATGATGCCCTCTGTGGGGCTCAGTGCTCTGCCGTATCAGGCTGACTGAGAAGCCTCCTATTCTGGTTGGCTTCCTGGAGCCTCACTGCCCACCTAGGCTGCTGGTCTGGGGCCTGGCTCAAGGATGCAGGGCTTAGTCTGGGGAGAAATTCTACGGGCCTGGGCAGTTGGCTCTAGAGTCCTGTGTCACCACCCTATTTATAGGGCAGTGGTGGCCTGTGCAGGTGAGCTTGCTTAGGGCTTGAGCCTGGGGCTGCTGAACCAGAATCCTCCTCAATGACAGGTATGACTTACCCTGCCATAAAGCTGTGCCCCGGATTTCCTCCCCCAAGGACAGGTGCTACCTACCCTGCCATACAGGCACACTCTGGATTCCCCCCCACAAGAACAGGTGCGACCTACCCTGCCATATAGCTGCACCCCGGATTCACCCCCAAGGACAGGTACGACCTACCCTGCCATATAGCTGCACCCCGGATTCACCCACCAAGGACAGGTGTGACCTACCCTGCCATATAGCTGTGCCCTGGATTCCCCCCCAGGACAGGTGAGACCTGCCCTGCCATACAGCTGCACCCTGGATTCCCTCCCCCAAGGACAGGTGTGACCTATCCTGCCATATAGCTGTGCCCTGGATTCCCCTCCCTTGCCCAGGACAGATGCGACCTACCGAGCCATACAGCCACATCCTGGATCCCCCCATCAAGGTCAGATGTGACCTACCCTGCCATACAGCTGTGCCCACCGCGCAGAGAAAACGTGTTTGCAGAGCCGTGATGAGCCCCCGCAGCTCCTCCTCCCGGTGGTGGCATTAACGATCTCCAGGTCTGCGCTGCCCACAACCCAGTTCACGCTGAAGTGGGGAGACTTCCCTGGCTGGCGCGCCTCGGCCTCACTCACGCCTGTTGGGAGGGGATTGGGAAGCGCCGAGCGTTAGTGGGCAGGAGGTGTTCAGACACACACTGTCCTTCCTTTCATGTTTCAAGCTTGGCCAGTTCACAGTGAGGTCACCGTCTCACCTTCTGGGACCGTGGTGACAGCCTTGGCAGAATGTCACTGTGCCGTAGCCTTTTAATCAAAAGGATTGTACTGGTCGTCAATAATAAAGCTTGGCCCTAATGTTTCCCTTTCTATAAATATTTGTTGAACAAATTAATGAATAAACAGTGCCATGTAGAAGCCATCTAAGGCTTGGGGTGACTTGCATGCCAGCCCATTCAGTGCACAGGCTTCCAGGGTTATAGTTTAGGTGACGAGAAAACAAAAATAATAAAAAGAAAATATAGGACTGTAGGTAATAGTGCTGGCTATAGAATCTGGGGGAATCAGGGGAAAATGGGCACGTGAGGCCCTTAGGAGTCTCAAGATGACAATGGAGTGTCAGACCAGGTCAGGCCCTCCTAAGCTCAGGTCTGTGTGGGCCCCACGCTCACACACCCATGAGCTGGTCCTGTCCAGAAAGCATCAGGGGTTTCAGGACCATCTCCTATCAGTGTGCTTTTCCCGGGCAGCTGTTATGCTCGGACTTCTGATTGGAACCACTCATCCTGCAGCCACAGGTTCCCACATACACCAGAGGAGACAGCAGGGCTCTTGCTGGGGACAGCTTCTGCTCTGCACCCTGGGGTGGTGGCCACAGCTCCTGGCTTCTGACTTGGGTCCTGGCCCCGACTCCTGCCTGGCTATCTCGAGAAGCCTCTCATTCAGGTCAGGACATTCTGGACATGCTGTAGCAAGATGTCTGGTGACCTTGTCAAGCACTTGCTGAGACCCCACGCTGAGACCCCTCCCCCGTGGACTCTAATACTTGCCAGGTCTTTCATCTCTCTTCCCTCCTGAAGATTACACTTGCTGACCTCTGACCTTTGGGGAATAGGAGTCTGAAGAACAGGCTGGAGAAATTTGGGGGTGTGGCATCCCAAGTGACAGCCAGACGTCCTTGTGGCGCCCTCACGCATGACAGGTGTGGCTCTTGCACATGCTGTCAGCCTGCCACGTACCCAGGCTCTGCTCGTGCCTCGAGTCTGCACTCAGAGCAACGTCTTGGTGCCTGATGTTCACATGTAACCTCCCAGTTCCCCTGGGGGTGTCCACCTCTGCCTGACATGGAGGGCAGGGAGGGGACACTGGCGGGTGGGTCTAGTGTGCACTAGACCTTCCCTGCCGGGGCTCTCCTGCTGCCTTCTTTTCAGATTTGGTCCCAACCTGTCGGTGTGTGGGTTGGGAAGATGCTTCCATGATAAATGACATCCCAGCTCATGTGTGATTACCTCAGTCTCACCATGGAATGTGTCATCTCTAACCACTCAGCCCTGTAAACCTTTGTTTAAAATAATGCACAAGGCACCATGCTGTGTGGCCTCCCAGAGGTGGGAAGGGTGTCATACTGACCCGGCAAGGGAGCACCCCATGCTGCCCCCAGAGGTGGGGAGGGTCCCGTGCTGCCCCCAGAGGTGGGAAGGGTCCCGTGCTGCCCCCGGAGGTGGGAAGGGTCCCATGCTGCCCCCGGAGGTGGGGAGGGTCCCGTGCTGCCCCCAGAGGTGGGAATAGTCGTGCTGCCCCCAGAGGTGGGAAGGGTCCCGTGCTGCCCCCGGAGGTGGGAAGGGTCCCGTGCTGCCCCAGGCACCCACCCGCAGCCTTGTCCCTGCTGTTCTCACTCTGGGCCCTGGCTCATCTCCTTGCTCTGCTCCTGACAGGTGACCTTCTGGCTCTCACCTTGAAGACTAAGCAAGACGGATAAGCACATTTTAAAGTCTCCCGTACACCCCCGTTATCTGCAGGTACACCCCCGTTATCTGCGGGTACACCCCCTTTATCTGCAGGTACACTCTCTCGGGCTCCTCTCTCTCGTTTTTATTTTCCTGCTGCGGTGGTTGATTTTTGTCCACTGGGCTGGGCCGACCAGTCCCAGCAGCTGCTGTGAAGGTGTCAGTTGATGCTGTTAACATTTAGCCCTGCAAACTTTGAGTTAAGAGGACTGGCTTGGTTGAAGGCCTTAGAAACAAAGACTGAGGTCCCCCAAGGAAGAGGAAATTCTGCCTCCACCTCCAGATTGCAGCTCCCGCCCTGCTGGAGCCTCTAGCCTGCCCAGTGCATGTCACACCTGCCAGCCTCACAATTGCATGGACCAATTCCTTAAAATGAATCTCTGCCTATCCTCCTAGGCTTCAGTTTTCAGGAGAACGCTAACTGGTGCACCCCCTTCCTGCCTCTCTGGGCTGCCCCTGGGATGTTTTCTTCAGAACTATGTTCCACTTTGCTAGTTTTCTCTTCTGCTGTGTTACTCTGCTATTAAGCCTGTCCTCTCTTAAACAATTAAAAAACAATTCTGAAATTCCTTTCTCCTCCTCTTCTTTTTAGGTTTCCTCTCTCCAAGTTTTCCGCCTTGCTTTTTAAAGCACTTCTCTTCTCATACCGAATGTGGTTTTACTAAAGCCTGACGACTCCAGTCCCTGGAGTCACGTGTTTGCTCCATTGTCTGGTTTTGTCTCCTTCTGTGCTGGATCTTTCTTTTCTTTGTAGCAATATAGCATTTGCAAGGTTTTTGTAGTGTCATTTTGATCTGACATGTAAGAGGATCATCTTAATTTATGCTCAGCCTTGGAGATAACGCCCAGTCATGTGCAGGCTGTGGGAGGCCCTCTGCCCGGCCCGGCCTTGGCTCTAGAAAGCAGCTTTCCGGTCTTTCCAGCATGAGAGGGACCCAGATCCCAATCCTTGGTCCTTTATCCCAGTGGTGCAGAAGACTGTCTCAGCCCCCAGCTACGTAGGGACTCTCAGGGGAAGACCTCATGTCCCCGCCTCTGTCTTTCCTGCAGCCCTGCCTGGTAAGTCCATCTCATCACCCCCGAGTGCTGCTGGAAGATGTCTGCATGTCCCCCGAGGCCTCCCACTGTCCCCTGTGTTCATGTTGACTCCACTGGGTCAGGGTTCTCCAGCTTTACAGACTCCACAGAGAATTGTGGTCTATTACCTGTCAACATTGTAACAGTGTGTTAGGCCAGGGTCTCTAGTCCCTCAGGTTTCGTGATAGATAAACATTTCTCTCTCAGAATGGCAGAGAGCTGCGAATGCCTCATAGAATGATCTAGAAGGTTTCTCATCCAAGCTGCAGCAGAGCTGTGACTCCATGGGTGCAACCACTAGGCAGCGATGCTGGCAGAGAGGCTGGTGCTGGCTCGGAACGAGGGGGCAGGCGCGATGGTCAAGGACACCTGAAGATAGCAGGTGCTTTCCACCATGGTGAGTGGCAGAGAGCCAGAGGCTGCTAGAGAGAGCTGGAGCCACCGGGGGCTTCCCTGCTGCTTCTCTAGCACTGTGAAGGCGAGACCAAGTCCTCAGCCACAGTCCTGAAGAGCCCTGCCCCCGCGGCCCCCGGCTCTCTTGGGCACCCCTGCCTGTGCCCTGGGACCCCCTCGTAGCTCCTTCTGTCTCTCCACCTGTCCACCCTGTTCACAGGTTTCATCCGCTGGCTCCTTTGGGACTTGACTGAGCGTCACCCCCAGCGAGTGCTCCTGGCCCGTGGGGTGAGGGCCCACCTTTCTACCCACCATGCTCTGTTTCTCATGGAGCACCCACATTTTGTTTGCTGTTTGTTCACCAGCCCCGGAACACCTCAACCTGAGGCATGGACATACGTAATCAATACATATTGGCTGATTGATTAAAGTTGACTGACTCTGGATGTTTGAATACATTTAAGATATTTCCAATAGAAGTATTTTCTTTGGAGTAAATGACAGAATTCTCAAGAGAAATATAATTAACTTTATTGTTTTAATTCTTTTTTTTTTTTTGAGACAGAGTCTCACTATGTTGCCCTCAGTAGAGTGCTATGACATCACAGCTCACAGCAACCTCTAATTCTTGGGCTTTAGTGATTCTTATGCCTCAGCCTCCCAAGTAGCTAGGACTATAAGTGCCTGCCACTATGCCTGGCTATTTTTTTGTTATTGTTGTCATTGTTGTTTAGCAGCCCTGGCCAGGTTTGAAACCACCAACCCCAATGCATGTGGTGTGCGCCCTAACCACTGAGCTGTGGACACCAAGCCTATTAATTCTTTTTTTTGTTATTAAATCATAGTATTGTTTTAATTCTATTGGGAAACATTTACATAAAATCATGGTGGAAATTAAACAAAAATTATTTAAGACACAAAATATTTTAAGACGAACTCTCTAGAAGACTAAAACAAGGTTTTTCTATAATTTTACATTTATCCTAAGTTGTGTACCATCTAATTTGCTTAGGAAGTTCTGTGCTAATCTGTAGAAATGTCTTACTAAATAGTTCTTCACCAAATCAAATAGTTTTGGTTTTCATGAAAAGATATTAGGATTGCTTTTAGAATCTTCTAGACTTAAGGATTTTTTTTTACTAAACATTCCTGCAGGGGAACAAGAGCGTAAATTCCTACCTCTAGTGGCTGTGAGACAAAGCCACTTGCTAATTTTTTTTAAATATGTGTTTTACTTTAAACATTTATGAAAAACTTTTATTTTACTCCATAATAAACCTTTGTCTATTTTAAAGTAAAAGTTATATTGCAAATTACCTCCCATCTGGATAAAAGAAGATATCTGTTACTACTTCACTGAGTTATTTTGCAAATGCTATTTTTTTTTTTTTTTTTTTTTGAGGCAGAGCCTTAAGCTGTCCCCCTGGGCAGAGTGCCGTGCCATTACAGCTCACAGCAACCTCCAACTCCTGGGCTCAAG